GCTCGACACAACACAGCCCAAAAAAACATATTTATTTTGTGAAGATGTGACATTTCTTGGGATGACAGTACAGTTGTTCGGATCGTAAGACCTTGAGTACCGCCAGAAGGTGATGCAAGTGGTTTTCTTTGAATTTACTATAAACGAAAAAATCATCGAAGTAGACCACCACAAATCTCCAAATATGGACTTTAAAGACTTGATACATCAGCCGATGAAAGTGTCGGGTGCGTTGAATAGACCAAAAGACATAATTGTCCATTCGTAGAGACCGTCACGTGTTTTGAAGACAGTCTTCCACTCGTCGCTTAATCGCATTTTTATTTGATGATATTCATTGCGTAAGTCAATCTTAGAAAAGACAGTGGCTCTATGTAGTTGATCCAGGAGATCATCGAGGCATGGTACCGAGAACTGGTATTTAATGGTGATTTTATTTATGGCACAACTTTCGATGCACATCCGCCATGTCCTGTTGTTCTTGGGGACTATAAGGACGAGAACGGCACACGGACCGGTGCTTTCACGGACTCGGCCTCTTTTGACGAGATCCTATACCTGACGTTGTAGCTCCTCATATTCTGTAGAACACAATCGATAAGCGGGTATATTTGGAAGAACTGACCCTGGTATGAGGTTGATGAAATGTTGATGTCCCGTAGTGGCGGTAATTCCTCTGAGAGATTTTCGGTCATGACGTTTTGGAAATTGTGTAGGAGTGGTTTAGGTTGGGAGAATCTCATTACCCTCATTGGTACCTTTAAGGAGGACCAAGGCAAGTGTTATCGGTGTGTCACAAACTAATTGCAGGAAGATGGGTCGTGATATTAACGCATCTTCAGTGTCGATCGTGGCACTTGCATCTTTTACAAGCAATAACAAGATTTGTTTTCCATTCTTTTTGAATGTGTAGGTGTTCTTGAAGCTTTAGTGCTGCGTTTTTCGATCGAACTACCATGATTTCCCCAGAAGAATGTGACATGCGTCCTTTGTGACTACATCACAGCACACTTGCTCTTGTAGTTGATTACCGATGGAGAATTCGAATAAGCATTGCTGATCAACGCAAATCTCGATCCCTTATTTGAGTCAGGTGAGAGAGTAGGATCACTGAAGTTTTTACGCGGCTAAACTTAACCTCTTGACCATTAGGGTGGATACGACATTTTCGTAGCTAATGCGGTCGATGATTAAACTGTAGATTTTGCCTTTGACTGTGCATGTAGTACGAAATATGTTGTGTCACAACCATGATGGGTCTTTTTAGTGTTCTGACTGTAGGACCAACCATATGACAAATAGTTTGCCTTCGTCTCTGGAAAGGGAAAGTGCTTCTTCTGAACCATTCTCTGATTAGGCTTCCTGGACTTCCTTGACTTCTTCAGTAAATAAGAAACACAGGTGGTGGGGCAATTGGCAGCGAAGTGGCCGTAACCATGGCACCAAAATCATTTCAATGCAGGAACTGTCCTGGAGGAACTTTCCTTTTCAGGTTTCATGTTGCTCGGGCTTTTTTTGTGCTTTCTGGTAGTGACTTGGCAGCTTCCAACATGAACTTGTTGGTAGATGTAACTCGAGGCGATGGCTTGAATGTAGACTGCTGTTGGAAGAAGTTTTGAAACTTGGTTTGGTTTAGTTGTCGTTCTACTTTTAATGTGATGATCTAGACATCGTTTAGCGTCCATCATGGTTGGAGTTGTGCAATGTTGCTAATGGCGGGTTTTAAATCCTCGAGGGTAGTGTCGCCTTGAGTCTCGTCGTCCAGGCCAATCGTTGTTGCAAGCGAGGAATCTCTCGTTGCATTTATTCTCAGGTTGGGACCGACATATATCGACGTGGTGGCGAAAAAAAGACGAGAAATGGAAGAAGAAGAAGACAAGAAACGAAGGGAAGAAAAAAAGGAAAAAGGAAAAGAAGAAGAAGAAAAAATTTGGGTGGCTTGGGTGGGGGTGGATACTAGGGAACCTTAGGGTAGGACTAGGGTTGGGTTAGCTTTAATACAAAATGATACCAGACTTAACCCAAACTATGACTCCGACACGACAATTTTATTGCCAAAATTTAAAAACAATTACAACGACGAATTATCACAAACATTAACACATAAAATAATAAACAAATTGCACGTAAATAATAAATAAAATAGCGCATAAACAGTAAAAAAATAGTGAATGCAGAAATAAACTCAGCACGAGGTAGAAACAATCTTAAAATGTGGCAAATTCGGTGCAACAACCCCAAAAGGCAGCTGGAACTTGCCAGAGTGGGGCTAGGAGGAACCGACAAACCCTAAACCTACGCATCCCCAAATTCGGTGCCGATGGAAGTGGTAGGCTTGGGGGCTAACAAAAGAGTGTAGAAGCAGCTCAGCAATGCGTGGATGGAGTGTCGAAGGGAGACCTGAAATGGCAAGGATCTGCCGAGGGGACTAGGAGGTGCTGCAGAGGAAGGATGTGGTGTGGAAGGGTCGGTGTGGCAGCCTGGAAGAGAAGTGGAGGTAGGAAGCGTAGTAGGGGATGCGACAACATGGACGCATCTGTACCCTTGGAAGGAGCTGGGAGGGTGGAAGACTTGCTGAACGGAGCTGGGAGGACTGCAATGGTAGAGGATATCCCGAGGAAAGAACGAAGCAGAGATACACACCACTTTGGCGGGATACAACCGTAACACCACATCGCCTAAGGATACAATCTCGAATGAGGGAGGATGCATGAAGGGTCACCAAGAACAGAAAAATCAACAAGACCAGTTAGACATAAGAAGATAACATGCAAATATAGGGGAGGAGAGGGAGACAACCAAGATAAGATCTTAGGAAAGAGAGGGAGCGGGGGGAAAGAAAAGGAAAGGTTCGCAAAGGCTAGGAAAAGATGAGGTAGATTAAGGCACGGGAGGCGAAGAAGGGGGAGCGATCAACTCGGGCACGGGAGGAGAAGAGTGCAAAATACATATATTGGACCAACCAGTCCATTTTCTCGATCCAACAGGCGCGAAAGCCTGCTCCGCGTCACCCCCCTTCTAGGGTCGAGTTATTCCCCTTGCTCATAAGGCAAATGCTCTTATAAGGAGATACATTGCTTGGAGCATTAGACACGAATACTACACTAACTAGTGTTATGATCAACCATATAAACTACCTTAATTGAAAATATATTCTTCTCCATGTCTTGTAACTCCCAATGCCAAAATGATGCCTCCAATAAATCATCGGTGCCAAGGCATTAAAACTTCATTAGCCACATAATCCTATAGGTAGAATTCTCTTCAATTATTCTAGCATCTACATCATAGTGGAATTACCTGATAAAGATCACTACTTCGTTTTGAGGATGAAAGGACTATCCCATTGGTTGTCATTCAAAAAGCCATTTTTCTTTGGGGCCCACAATCAATAAGTTTTTCCAACAACAAATCTCCATGGACGGCAGCTATTTGACATGCCCTAAGCTTCAACAACGACATCTTTTTAAAAGGTTTTGGTCTCCATTATTGTTTCATCATCTAACAAAACAAATTCATTCTTTTGAAGTGCTGAAGAGGGGAGTAGCTCATTGAATTTTGCTCTCGCGGCCCATGACAAGGGCTTTAGTGCTTCTTTTCTATGATTTGAGTCCTATAATACTTAAACGATGGATATTGATGTTTATTCTATGGTTTGAAAGTTTGACTTTACCGGAAAAGACTTTTTGAATTATGTTTTTGGGCTATTACGTCTTACATATTTTAGATTTTCAAGTTTATCATCAATAGGAAATGTCTTCACAAACTTCAAGGTCTATAGTTAAACTATCTAGTTGAGCTGAACGTGTAGAGATTTTAACCTAGCCCTATCCTTCAAAATTTGTTTCCTTAATGACTCATATGAGCAAAGCCTCTATGATGTGTGTCATCAGATTTTGGTGCAAGAAAGCTACCGTGCTTGAAGCAAAGATGCAGCAAGCATGACTCTTTAAAATAATTAAATTCCTTTTACAAGAGATTTTAATGGTAGTAACAAAAATAACAGGTTGGCATCTTGGCTCATCTGAATAACCACATCTGGCTTCCTTCCACAAGTAAGCAGAATAATGGCAAGGGCTTTCAATTCGTTGAGGTGACATCCACCTAGTTTGCACATTAATGTGTGCAGCATGGCTACCAATAGTCACCCTTGCATGACGAGAGCAAACAAGGCATTAGGATCACAGGCGGTAAATTGCATAGTGAACCCAATTGTCATGGTATTCACCATGACGCTAGGGAAGAAAAAGTGGGACCCACCACCCAAGTTCCATAATGAATGTAGTATTCTAAAAATCTATCCAACATAAATGAAAGATACAGACCATAAACCAAATTTTAACAAATCACACCTTGCCCTCAAAACACAAAGCAAAAATGAAAAAATCTAGATTCTTTTATAAAAGAGAGGGACCTCACGCAATCATAGTGAAAGCTTGGAATTGACACTAGAAAAAAGTTATGCTGCACTTGACACACGATAAAATGAGGTGAAAAGACTTAAAAATATTGCCCCCGTTAAAAATAAACCTGTAAATCATTAATTTGACAAATCTCCATGCATATCAAGAAATACACTTGAAATCCATTATATAACCATGCAACAAACCATTTCTAAAACCACCGGCCATGCTAAAAATCAAAATACCTAAAAAATAATAATAATAATCTCCAAAACTCATGGTAACCATATTGTGCAAAATAGGAGTAAATGTGCTTCATAAGGTTCAAAAACTTCTTGAAGAAATTAATGAAATCCATGAAGAAAAAAATTCAAACAGAATAAAGACAAATCAAATGTCAGAAGTGATTTTAGACAGAAAGCCATTCGTAGAAGATGAAAGAATCTAGCTAAAAATAAGGCGTGCATCAAAGCATGTCTAACTAAAAGGATAATTTCACACCTGAGGGTAGTCGATCTTATAATAGACTGGTTAAAAGATAGAATAATTAATGAGAAAATATATGGTAGATTTCATAAGCATCAAATAATATATTACCTATGCCTATGCGGATGTTACGAAGGGAAAGGAAGACGCCAAGCGGAGATCCAACTGCAAAAAATGTATCAACCTGGGAAAGAGAACAATCAGCACATCAAGTATCAAGAACTGTACATTCATATGTTCTCTCTAATTAGAAAATCATAAGCAAACAATTAGCCCAAGCTGAAGATTTATATACATTGTAAATTAATTACATATTAAAGATGTGCATCCAAGATTCAAAAAATATAATAATAAAAAAAGTGGAAAGCAAGATAATGAAAATAATTAACAAGAGGGACAAAAAAATTAACAAAAATAGCTAATAAGAGAACAATTTTCAGTACTTCACCTTAAAATCAAGTTTAGTATATCTAATGTAGGGTGTGTAACTCTTTTTTGTAGCATCTTCCTCGGACTTTTCCAAGGATGATTGACTTTTGCTACATCCAACTCTATTTCCTGCAATTAATGAACCAAGAAAATATGGTTCAATACATAGCAACCGATAGTAACCACGATTTTCCAACACCAATGGTTTTGGGATATCAGCATTAGTTGGGTATAGTTAAGTTCAAAAGATCACCATTCAAAGCATCAATTTGTTGTTCTAGTTCTGCATTCCTTATTTGAAGAGACTTCACCTGGGGAGTAACAAATAAATATAATTTTTCCACCCAACTCTCCCAACAACCAGAAAAGAATAATAATGAGCAACGACCAAAAGAAAATAACAAATGTAAAATTTTAGTAATTTACAGATTTTCTGGACGTATTTGTGATATATATACTAATCAATAATAATACTAATCAATAATAAGGTCTACAAAATCGCAGTGTTGGTACTGCAAACACCATACAAATGGTTTCATCCTTCCAATTGAATAATTACCTCTTCTCTCAACAAGGAGATCAGATTGTCCTTGCCTATAACATCTTTAACCAACAGATCAGCAGTTTTAGCCCCACTTTCTCCAGGACTTTCTTCCATACTATCAAATAATGCATTAGAATCAATTTCTGCAGTACATGATTTACTTCTCAATTTTGTGTTAGATTTCTCGTCGCAAGCATCCAGCGGTTGTGTATTATCATATTGCTGCTTGTCTGAAGTTAATTCAAGAAGATTGAGCGATTCATCATTAACAATTGGAAAACCAATAGGCTTCAGGGAATCATCAGTAAAATTTTCTGTGGGAAGAGGAGCTGTAGCATGATGCTCTAAGGAACTACAAGAGACTTTGGTTTCATCAATCTCCTGAACAGAAGCTTCACCATAAATAAAGGAAGGGCGGGGCACATCAATTTGTGGTTCCTGTTCAGCATTATTTCTCGTGTGCACAGAATCCATAGGAATGGGGGAAGTTGAACATTCTTGATGAATGGGGGAAGTCGAACATTCTTGATGACAAAGGATGTCATAAGATAGAACACTTCCTAATGAATGACCATATAAAGAAACCTGCCGAAGAAATGCACAAATATAGCAATAAAAAGTGAATTTTTCGGCATAAAAAAAGGCCAAATTACAAAAAACAGTCCAACCTTCCCATTGTAGTGTGGATTTCTCTTCATAAACTTAGCGTACAATTTATTTAACTGATTGGACACCTGCAAAGGAAATATTAAATGTCAACCAAAGGAGTAATAACTTATCCTGAAAACACTCACTAATATATCGTTATGAAAGTAGTTATATCAAGCTATTAAAGAGCACATTATTGAAAGTAAGAAATATTAAAGCCTTAAGAAAACTTATATCAAAAGAGTAAAAAGCATGACAAATCCCACGATATGTTCGATGGTAATAATTTTTTAAAATTTATTAGAAGTATTAAAAATGGCATTTCTTTAGGACCATTCTAAACTAAAAAATAAAAAAAACAAGATGGCTGAATGGAAAAGATACAATCATTTTAAGGGAAAAAAAAGCCCAACAACATGATATTAGGATCCATCAATGCCAACTAAGAATATCATATTAAAATTTAGAAGCATTACATATGTAAACCACAATTCTTATGTATTTACATATCTCACACCTAAAATTTCATATATAGCACTCAAATCTTTAAAATGACATAAAAAATAGCACTATTACCACTTGTTTAAAGTAAAATACACCTTTTTATGCATAGGTTTAAAGCACTAAAGTACTATGTATGTAAATGTGAAGTTTTAGGTTTTAGGCTTATGAAGAATAAAATAAATATTTTAAATTGTTTAATGAGCATTATAGTGTACTTTTACATTTCAAAGAAAATATATTAATTGTATAATAATTTACAACAGAGCAATTTCTAAGACTAGTCAAAAAAAACGGGAAAAAAAAAGACAGCGATGAAAGATAACAAGAAGATAAAAAATGCTTAAAGATTGGCCAATAAAGGTGAGTGTCGATATATTTCCTTTTGATTCTTGCCCTGTTTGGAATAAAGAATATGAAATATGTTATAAACCATACAATCGACAATCTAAATGCATTAACCTGAATAAGATAGCTGTTGAGATATACTATTGTTGTTGCGGTCACAAATAAGATGGAGCTAAGGCATTTCAAGAAATTGAGGATTATTTTCAACAATAATATTAGTAGATGATAAAGTGATCAGCATCACGAACAAAGATGAACAAGAACATCAGTGTCGGCGTTTAAAAAGGGGGGAGTTACGT